TCTCTCTCTCTCTTTAACTCTCTCTCTCTCTCTCTCTCTCTCTCTCTCTCTCTCTCTCTCTCTCTCTCTCTCTCTCTCTCTTTAACTCCCTTTGCCCCCCCCCTCCTCTCTCTCTCTTCTTTTAACTCTCACTCTCACTCTCTCTCTCTCTCGCTCTCTCTCTATCTCTCTCTCTCTCTCTCTCTCTCTCTCTCTCTCTCTCTCTCTCTCTTTAACTCCCTTTGCCCCCCCCCCTCCTCTCTCTCTCTTCTTTTAACTCTCACTCTCACTCTCTCTCTCTCTCGCTCTCTCTCTCTCTCTCTCTCTCTCTCTCTCTCTCTCTCTCTAACTCCCTCTGCCCCCCCCTCCTCTCTCTCTCTCTCTCTCTCTCTCTCTCTCTCTCTCTCTCTCTCTCTCTCTCTCTCTCTCTCCACACACACACACATACACTAACATAAAAAAATCTGCTAGTCTAGTAGGAACACAATTTAAGACATATCACTACATACCTGAAGTACCAGATTCAGTGTTTATTAACTTATCTGATGATGCTTTCTCATAGTAAGGATTCGTTAAAAGCTATCTACGCCAATCTAACTATAAATGAAATACAAATTATTTTGTAATTTCTAACACACATCTCACTAAATAAAGTATATTGAAAAAAGTTACAGTAATGCCTACTGTGTCTCTAACGTGTAAACTTCGTTAACTGAGAAGAACTAAACAAGTGTCTTCGTATACTTTAACCCTAGCGACACCTTGTGCCCAGAAATGCCTGAAATGCTAATCAGAACGAACATGAAGAAGACATTTTGACTATCTCGTTCATTTTGAAAGAGGCGGGAAACGAAGGTTGGATAAAATTATATTTCAGCATGGAGCCACTAAGTAATATGCAAATTTAAATGTGATTTGAAATTACTTCGAAACGAGATCCCGATACTATCCTGACAAGTGGACAATAACTGGGCATGATCCCTGTCCAGCCACCTGTCCACACACACTACTGTCCATCTATCCCTGAATCTCGTCCACCTTAAACTGTCCACGTAGGTTGAATAACAATTTGTGACGTCATGGCGTAGGCAGTTTTGATGACACAACTCTAATCTTAATGACGCAATAATGATGCCTGTATCAAGACCTCACACCATGGAGCAATTTTGGAAAATTTCGCTATATTTCAGCTGTTCCTTCCTTTTTATGCTTTAGAACCGCCTTTCTTTGCTTACCAGTACCCGCACCAAATACAAATCCTGTTATGTTGCAGTGCCACTTGAAGTTAAATGTTCTGTTATTTTAATGGTTATGGGTTTCGTAAGGTAACGAACTCTAACGCTAACATTACTGTGGATTCAGAGGCAATCGTTTCCTCAATGGGTTTGCTAAGTGTTGTATGTACTAATGGCAAAGAGAGAGAGAGAGAGATAGAGATAGAGAGAGAGAGAGAGAGAGAGAGAGAGAGAGAGAGAGAGAGAGAGAGAGAGAGAGAGAGAGAGAGAGAGAGAGAGAGAGAGAGAGAGAGAAGTAAATAAATAAATAAATAAATAAGTATATATATATATATATATGTATATATATATATATATATATATATATATATATATATATATATATATATATATATATATATATATATATATATAGATATAGATAGAGAGATAGATAGATAGATAGATATATAGATAGAGAGAGAGAGATAGAGAGATAGAGAGAGAGAGATAGAGAGATAGAGAGAGAGAAAGAGATACAATTTCCATGTCATTTTCATTTCTTTTACATATTTAAGTGTCACGACACATAGTATCATATTAGTAAAGCTTTTGCATTTGCATCCAGTCCTTTAGGGCTTACACTATACTATACAATTGAGGTAAAGTTCCTTGCCAAGGGGAACAACCCTCGATCTCAGATTGTCGTGATACTTGAAGTACAACGCTCTAACCATTCTGTGACTACGAGACAGACAGGCAGGCAAGCAGGCAGGCTTGCAGGCAGGCAGACAAGCATGCAAGCAGGCAGGCAGGCAGGCAGGCAGGCAGGGAGGCAGGCAGGCAAGGAGGCAGGCAAGGAGGCAGGCAGGCAGGCATACATACATACATACATACATGCAGACAGACAGACAAGAGCGCAGACAGAAACAAAGAGAAAGAGAAAATTAAGAAAATAGGAGAAAAATAACCTCCCAAAAAGTACTGATAACAAAAACTACAACAGCAACAAACAAACAACCTCATTACACACTACACACCACTCGCCACCAACACGAAAAACAAAAACAAAAACACCACCACCGGCAAAACAAAAAAAAACATCAAAACAAAAAAAACATCAAAACAAAAAACACCGACGAAAGACAATGTCCATTTGGCAGTGGCCATAAAAGATAAATCAACTCACGTGTAGTGCGGCGGCGGATGGCCCTGGGCCACGCACGGGAGGGTCACGCGGGAGCCGGCCTGGGCCACGACGCGTCCGGCTCGCTCGCTGATCCTCGGGGGCAGCGATCCTTGCGCCT